GACGCCACAAGTGACGTGAATTAGCAAACGTGATTCGAGCCTTTGAGATTCTTGCACTGATTTCATCAAACACACTTCCGTCAGAGCTAATACAACCACCGAGGTACGTAAAATTTTCCACAATCTCCAGTGGTTCTCCTTGAATTGTAAGGGATATGTTCGCAGACGGCACGTTCTGAAGCAGGACTTTGCACTTTGAAGGTGCAAGGCGCATGCCAAAAGATGGTATGATGGCGGTCATTTTATTTAACAGGGTTTGTGCTTCGCTTTGGTCTTCAAAGATGAGGGCGATGTCATCTGCGTACTACGGGTCGACAAGGCTCTCGCCAGCAACAATTTGGACACCGGGGTTTTGAAAACCATCCAGTGTTCGCTTCATTATTTCATCGATGACGAAGTTGAACAAGAATAGGGAGAGTGGACATCCTTGTCTGACACCACTTTTTGTAGGGAAGCTTTTAGAGAGCTCACCATATACCCTCACCCGCAGTTTTTTGAACTGCACATGCACATCCATTGTGGGCTAATTAGTTATTTCAAAAACCACTCGACTTACTTCAGCATCACTGATCAGTCTCAACAGATTCGGGCAATGTCCCGAAGACATTGATGGCCAAACAAACAATGGAAGTCTTGACGTCTTCGGGGCACAGCTGCCAGATCTACGATCCTTATAAAATGGAGCGAACCGCAGCTTTGTAAACTCGACCCTTGACGGGGAAGCTGATGTCACGCCTACGCCACAGATGAAGCGGGTTCATGAAAGCTGCTCTGGTCTTCCCCATCCGGATGGAAATATCATCTTTCGCCAGACCACCTGGACTGATACAGCTGCCCAGATAAAATATGCCTGCTACCTCAATCGGGTCATCGAGCAAGCCAAGCATGAGGCTAAGGTTCGAGCCCACTCAGTTTCGCAGTAGCACTGTGCATTTTGGAGGTGTGAAGCGCATGAGGTAGAATCATTCAGATTATTTTGTTTGCATGTGGTTTGCATTACGACGGTGCCCGATCCAAGAAGAGTTGTGTCATCTGCGTATTCTATATCTGTGAGCGGACGCCCCGGCAACACTTCAATCCCACAAGTACCAGAGGCTGGTAGTGAGTCTTCCATAATCATAGCACCGACGGAGTTGAAGAGGGAGGGTGAAAGCGGACAGCATTGCTTGACATCACTTGATGTGATGATCTTATGATTGATGGGTTAGGGGGGTTTCAAATCATTGTTGATCTGGTTTGGTTCCTTAATCTTCCAGGTGAACGTGCTTCAATTGACGATTCACCTCAGGTATGAAACCCACGTATGTCTCTTCCTGTGTCCAGTCAACCTTCGAAAAATAAGACCATAGGATGCCTTCGATGCCATAGCTACCAGAATGACTCCACCGTGGTTTTCACACAGCGTCCGGGTACCTTTTTGAAGATAGGATTGACTATCGATATGCCCTACTCTGAAGGCACTTTCTCTCAATTTCGTACCGCGCCAAGATTTGTCAGATGAGTCACTAGGGATACTCCGCTTTGCTTGTACACGACTGGATACAGACCGTTCAGTCCTGGTGTCTTCTGACGTTTCAGTATGGATATTTCGTATTTTGTTCCTTCTTACATTCCATTCGCCTGTACGCACTATCTCCGGGGACTGTGTTGCAAGAGGCCAGCTGAACTGTTCTTTGAAGTGTTTGGCCATTCTTTCCCGTCGACGTTTTTGCGACTGAATTAATTAGCTGTCTTTTTCATTTATCCTTTCACGGACTGTTACTTTCCTAATGCCAGTCCATCATATCAGTTGATATAGGGCGAGACTGTTTCCCGTAGCAAAAGTCTTCTCCATCTGAGTTCGGTCTTTTCTTAGGCTGCTCACTATTTGGCGTTTGAGGCTTCGCGAGCACCGTCGTACTGGTTGCCTGCTGGTACATATTTCCTGGCATGTCATGAATATCGATCTCGACGATATCCCGTGGTCATACGGCCAAGAGTGAATAACTAACTGAACTAATTTCAGATAGAACCATTTTTACAGTTCTGTGTGTCTTGGTAATTTTCAAGATAGATTTTTTTCCTGTGCAGAGAAGCCGCGAAGCACTGTTTCATGCCTATTGGGAATCATCAGCAGTGTGCATCGCGCCGAAGGTCGCAGGCTCCTGAGACGCGCACTGCAGATCATTCCTAGTGAGAATGAAACAGCTTTCCGGCTTTTCACTACAGATCGCCTTCACTTACAAGACGAAATCTCATATCATGGTCAGTTTACTTATTAAGCCTGCAGCATCAAAATTTCATTTAGCAACGGCAATTCCTTTGAATACCATAATAGTTTGGCTAGAGTTGAACACCTAGATATGGTGTTTGGGAGAGGTAATCTTGCGTTATGAACTGAGTGTATTGACTATATTTTCAGGAGTGAAATAGATATCTCTAGGCGTTTCTTACCAAGTCACAGCAGGTTCAGTGATTAAGGCTGACTAAGTTCTGGACTCGAAAACAGTTGAGTGCCGAAATACATCGTCCGCTTTTTCACAGATAAGGAAGCGCCACTCGGTACTCTTCGCTTTTACTCACAACTACGGCTTCTTGTGAGAGCCGGTAACACATCGGTGACACTAATAGGTTCGTATTTGCGCACTCATTGGCTAAAGTGTTTTCTCAAAACAGTGTAGTTCACCCAGGATTCTTGCTCACACACGTCGGCCTATTAAACTAACCATTCTTCGTTCTTTCTATAGAGAAAATGTCGGGTAGTTCAGGTAGCATAGATGGTGGTCGTTGGCTTGTTCGCTGAGCTGGGTTGGTGGTTGTGCCACAACCCACCGCTACGCACTACTACGCTCCCCCATAACGCACTGATGATGTCACCTCGATTGGTGGTGAAACGTTTGCAATCAAATTGCCCAGCTCAGCGAACAAGCCACGACCACCATTTTTCGTTCTACTCCGGATGAACAGGATTCTGGGGGTGAGATGGCTTAATTGACAGAGCGTGAATTTACTGACCATAAGGTCCGTGGTTTGAACCAGACCTCTGCCTCTCCACTTCCCCTGTGTAGATTTGGGCAACCTGACAGTATCCCAGCCCTCGTGTTTCTTTCGGGTGGCATGGCAGTTAGGTACCGGAAGGGTGTTACAGCTGAACGATTATTATTACTGAACAGCATTCCCGTTCCATACTGGATGCCTGGTTTCTGATGAAAAGTTTATCAGTGACAGTAAATGTCTCTAGAAATGTTCTCACTAAGTCTATGGAACTGCTTATCTGTCTATCCGAAAACACCGAGAGTTCCGGTTTGCAGGTGTCTGTCATGAGTTGCAAGTAGACTATAACGAACGAAGTTGCACATGGTCACTAATTTTCAGTAGGGTGCCATAATCTACTTCATCGACCATACGTTCTTCGTTAGTCGGTATTAACACGAAAAGAGAGACAATATCAAAGCATTTACTTGGTGCTCTGGGAAATCACCGTTAGGATACGGTATTTGCAATGATATTCCTTGTGGTATGTTGGTCAGTGAGTTGAACAGCACGGGAACGTTGCTGGAAATGTTTTTGGACTGTTTCACAGTCTAGCCACGAACGAACACAAACCAAACCGTCAGGTTATAATTTCATCGCTGCCATGCTGCCCGGAAGAAGCACGAAACCTTAGATACTACCAGAGTTCCCTAGCCAAAACCGTGACACAACCAACCGTCAGGTTATAATTTCATCGCTGCCATGCTGCCCGGAAGAAGCACGAAACCTTAGATACTACCAGAGTTCCCTAGCCAAAACCGTCGATCGACACAACCAAGGCATGTTAATGGTTCGTCGTTCGAGGCGTCGAGCTTTCCTCCCACATTACTCAAGTACGAACATGTTCACTAGCTCAGACGTAAAAATTCACGTATCCAGCATGCGCTGCATCGGCGCAGTTCTAACTTAAGAAACAACCAGAGCTGCTTCGCCACATGGTGCCCCGCGTGCCAGCCAACCTGTTACACAGATAGACATATCTGGAACACCGCAATGGATTCGGATCGGCGCTTGTTTGTCGCTGATTTTCACTGCGCTTCTCCTGGGCGCGCAAGATGCGCACACTTCGTCTGGCTACTGAAAATCTCTCGGACCTTGATGTGAAACAAGTCTATCAGCACCATCTACTGGATTTCATTTCGAACAACACGTCTTTGGATGTTAACTCCCACTGTAAGCTACTGTCCGCAACACTGCGAGATGGTGGCGCTCCGCCTGTGGAACAGCTCAACCAGCTGGATCGAACCACTGCATTTCGATCAACGCTCCGAAAAAACAATCCAGCTGTAGCACTCTTTCGGTGCCTAGCTACCATGACACTCGAAGGAAGCACCAGGGCTAAGATACCGCTAGATTGCCAAAGCCTAGACGGGGGGAGTGGAGAGGCAGAGATCGGGTTCGAACCATGGACCTTCCGGACAGTAAATTCGTGCTCAATCCTTTGAACCATCGATCAACGTCCTACAACTGTTCGAAGCTCGAATACGTATTCCTCTTGGCCGAGAGCAAGATACTACTCGACATAATATCAGACTTCAGGCGGGAAAGGGCATCCAAATGGACCAAGAAGTTTGATGTATTCAAAAACTGAAGAGGAGTGGGAGGTGAGAAACTCTGGGAATGTACGGAAGATGTTCCAGCGGATAGGCGCATCAGGCTCGAAGAGCTTCCGGTGAACGAAGCAGTCACTGATAACAAAACCTCGCCCACTCATAAAGAAACAAGAGCGCCTGAATCGTTCGACTGAACACTTTCAGGACCAATCCAACTGGTCGCCTGCAGTTGCTCAGCCAGATTCCTGACTCGCAAGCCCTGACAGCTCCGGGAATGAGTGAATGCCTTTTATCCTTGAGCATCACCGAGCTGCTGGTCCTGACGAACTCCTAGGCACTGTCTAAAGATGGAGGTGAAATCCTCAGTCAATGATTGACCAACTTATCCGCCTCTAGATGGGCGAAAGCACCAACTCAACTAACTAGGGTGAGTAGATAGTATTGCTTACTTTCAAAGCTTTTTTCAGTCTGACAATCAAAGGGAAATTAGTTCCCCCCAATTGTAACCAGATATTTCGAGTCGCTTATTCTTGGTGGTCTTACGAAGGGAAGTAAAATGGGACCCGAGGACAACAAGCAGGATTTCGGTGGGTCTGAGGTGCTAGAAAAACGACATGCTAATAGGCGCCCCATAACTTGACGTTCCTTGATTTTATGTGTATTTGATACACGAGAACTGGCGCACGGCGCTTCGCTCCATAGATAGTCATAAGGCCTCACGGTTCAGAGATAAAGGTAACCTTCAGCCCAAAGAACGAACATCGTTGTCGGTTCCCGCAAGCAGCGTCGCTGTTCTGCAATCTTTCGGAGGGTGAAAGCGTGATCCAGGACCGAACCCAGCCTGGTTTTCATGGATCTCCCTCCCTCTGCGTCCAGTCTCAGGGACAAGACCAGAAGGCACACGCAGTGCCGCAACTGCCAGACTAAGGCTACGTTGGTTTTCAGTGTTCGTGTACCCTAGAATGACTATCAGTGTGCCCCATTCTGCATGCATTTTCTTTTCACTCTACATAGCACTAGTAAGTTTTGCCAGGTGCGTGACCAGAAATTCTCTGCCTTCTTTGAAGTGGGCTCGATATAGACTATTTGGTTCTGGTGCCTCCTCATGATTCAACACGGGGGTCCATAATTTATTTCTTCTTCTGACAGGCGATTAAGATCCACTCTCACGAATCGTCTCCAAGAGCTATTTTACAGGAGGCCAGTTGCTCTATCTCCCTAAGTATTCAGCCATCTTTCCAGTTGACGTTTTCGCGACTTTTCCGCCTATCATTTTACTCACTGTCGCTTTCTTTTGGCCAGACGTGGTGGCATTGGCACACGGCAAAAGTCTTCTCTATATCTTGAAGTTTGATTGGCTTCCAACCATTACCAGCAGCAGCAGCAGCATAAAATCGATGCAAAACATTCCTGCTTCGCTGTCGTATAGCCGTTAGTCACTTGGAAGCATTGTTGTGGGGGAAAGAACGAAAGTGAAAAGAAAATGCGAGCCTAACACAATCATTCCGAAGTACCCACACCTCCAGACAAACAATCACACAATCCGGAGAAAAACTAACAACACAGTAATGATTAGCAAACACGTATTGAGCGTCAGTAAACATGTAGAGTAAGGGCCAGGCGGTCCTTATCCCGGAATTCGAGTCACACACAGCAACCGGACTTCTCGAAATTTCTTTCATGCCCTTCTGCCAGGTCAAAGGTTGACCAATCCCCTGCTTGCGCCACTCTGAATTAAGCACAGAAAGCACCACTCCCTGCGGCCAATGACGATTCTGCATGCGCAGCCTCTGGTGCCAAACACATTCTACGATCAAAGTACCCGTTGCACAACCAGATACTCGTTTTCTATCTGACTGGCTCGAGATTCCGCGCACCAACCTATACGAGCCATGGTTTTTAGATAAGGGTTGTCGAAAACCTGAAGACATCTCAGTTCCACTGCTTGAACATGTCTCATACTCACATCAAAACAGCCCGCACTGTAGCCTGAGAAACACGGTCTTTGAGAATCAGGAATATACCGCTTGACGCTACAGGTGCCCCAGATTACCAAACGTGACCCGATTCTAGATGATTCGTCATGAACCTCGTTTATCATACTACAATCGGAACTGATACAACTTTCAACATGAGTAAAATGCTCCACAACTTTGAGTGCTCCTGGACTATAATTGGTGTGTTCAGCGGCTGCGTGTTCAGAAGTGCGACCTTAAACTTTGGGTGTAAAGCGCACACCAATGGACAGGATGACTTTGGTCAGTTCACCCAAAAACAGACGCAACTTTTTCTTCTCGAGGACAGGAACAACGCCGTTTGCCTGTTCTAGATCAACAATTTTCCGTCAGTAGCTGTTTGAAACACCAGGATTTTGAAAACCTTCACTATTTCGTCTCATTATTTCGTACACCAATAAATCACATAGAAACGGAGTGGGTACCTTTGGCGGACACCGCGCTGTGTATGGAAGCTTTTGGAGAGCCCTCAATATGCTTTCGCACGTCCCGAAGTCTGGGAAATAAGGAACTTATTATGTTCACAAGCTTCTAGGGCATTCCTTGATGGGTAACCGTGTCGAGGAGAACAGGCAGGTCAACCGAGTCGAATGTACCTTGGAAATCTAGGAATACAAGAATTGTGGGTCGTTTGTATGCATGAAGTTATTCTCGCACCTGGTGGAGTGAAGATTCGGTCAACTCAACTCCTACCAGGCCAGGCTCACTTGCTACTCTAGAGTGAATGCTTCATTAGCTACCGGAATGCGATGAGGAACAAGTTATGCCAAGGGTCCCGTCAAGTTGATCCTCCTGTGATTGCCACGCTCACTACCGGCAGTTCTGACGTCAAACTGAGTGGCAGCAGGTGGTCACGAGCATTGTTGTTTAAAACGCCCGATCCAGCAGTCCTTTTCTTTTGCTTGACGGCTTCGCTAGCGAACGGTTTCCAGGGTCCGCTTGTTCGGATCACCCGAGATCGTCTTCGGGTATTTCCGTAGCTGAATAGTCATTCGCCACTGGCCCTAAAATAGTCGTCAGCTGTAGCACCCTTTCGGTGATTAGCTGCCACGCTACACGAGGGCTGGGATACTGCCAGGTCGCCCAAGCCTAGAACGAGGAAGTCGAGAGGCAGGGATCAGGTTTGGACCACAGACCTTCCGGTCAGTAAATTCGCGCTCTAACCACTTGGTCCATCTCGCCACTGGCCTTGTTCACTACTGATGCTTCATCGCCGTACAACCCTGATTTATTTGAATACCTTATTTTGAAAAGAATAAAAATGGATGGGGCAGATGACACTCCCCAGTTGCCCAGGTTGAGGATGGAGGTTTAGTTGACATACCTCACCTTGAACCTTTGGCTCAGAATCCTGATCCACGAGGCAGCGGACAGTACGGCTTTCTGTGAAAGCCGATGTCTCAGTATTCTACTTCTCTCTATAGAGCACAAGAAAATGACAACGTGGAGCGATTTAGCCGGACAGCCACACATCGGCTTAAAAAAGCACTAGTGCACGAAAGACTTTGGAAAGTACTAGAGGCACACCCTTTTCACTCCCAATACCTCATCAAGATGCTTAGCCTTCGAAAAAACAATGCGGACGTGAATCTCGAACACAGGTGGGTAGAATAACACTAGTCATGGACATACAAAAGCACAAGTGGAAAAGACAGATGCTTTGGACGGCATTTAAGTGGATGATAAGCTATAAGTACACAAAAATATGCAATCGAGTGAACCAGGCAAGACCTGAGATGGATTATGCAATATTCGGTGACCGCCGCGCCATGGGTTGATGGAAGTAACAGATACTTGCCTTTGGTTAAACGCAGGTGAAACTAGTGATGGTTCAAGACCCAGTGGAGCTAGAGGGACAACGCAAAGTATACTAAGGTCTGCTAAAGTGTCCACCCTTAAGCCCTGGAAGGACGGGAAGGAATACTGCATTGCCAGTAGTAAACGAAAATCAACTTCTGTTGGTCATTCGCATCTCGACTCGTTTACAGAGTCCTCGCAGTATCAGAAATGACTGACACTAAATCCGAAGCTGCATGGGGGTGAATGTGTAGTCATTAAATGGACTAATTCGGGAAATTTGCTTCATTGTTTGAGCGAACTGATCAGATTGCTGATTGGTTTCGGCGGCCGCTTTGCTCTCTCATAATCATAACTGGCGTGCAGATCGTCAATGATATTGCTGATGCCTCATGTTTCTCCCAAATAAACCATAGTTCTCCGAATCGCAGCGAGCTTAAGGTAGGAGGTTAGTCGTCGGACATATCATGTGGATTCTTGTCACGGACCTCGAGAAAACGGGCGCTCAGTAACCAGATCAACACTAACCAATCACTAGTCACTGCAGCTAATCAGTGCCAGCAGACTAGGACGGGAAACCTGAGCCAAACTCAAGAAGGAGCAGTCTTAAGGACAACGCGTGAAACGAGTTATGCATTTATTGGCACATCGTATACGATACGAAGACAAGCATGCAAGACATTTCACATCAATGATTATGTATATTTGCAAATGACTTCGAAAAGGAGCACATTTTCACGAATTTTCCGTTTCCTCTTTATGTTGTAATAGGTAGGTCCCAAGGGCCTCAATCGGATTCGGAGGTCTAAATTTTACATTCACGACAAAGGTGACGATTACCTCTCCTTTACAAGCATAGTGAGTCCCTGAAGCAATATGGGGACAACCGTCTTATCCAGGTAAGCACGAGTATCAGCGGAATTGAGATCCGCGCCCTGATTTTCTTGGCCATCCATTCCTACCTCTATGATCGTCCTTCGCGCGGCTTGGGAAACCACGGCTCCCACCGGTACATCCAACGAAGAGATGGGTAAGCAGCCCAGAAGATGCTTATAGGATCATGTCATCAGTACCGTTACACAAATTTCTAAAAAGCAGCCGAGAAGGAAAAAGAAAACATGAAACTTCCAGAGAAAATCTGGCGCGTGATTTGAATCTAAAATTTATCCCATATTCAAACGGGCCACTGGCTATTCGCACAATGAGATTGATTTCTCGAAATCTACGGCATTTTCAGACTTGCCACTTCATAGTGTAGAATGTCTATGTATAATGTATATGCTGCTGTAAAAATGAAAATCATTTACTATGGCGATTTGTTTAAGGGAGCGAATTCTCAAGGTCAATAAACACCGCCGACTGTGAATACGTTGCCTGATGATAAAAAATCGCGAATTGTGGAGAAGATTGACTCACATACAATAAACGTAACTTTCAGGTATTTTCCCACTGGAACAAATTTCCTCAACATTCTAGAATCTAAATGGCCTTTGTAGATACAACATATGCGTAGGCGCATTCGTGCAAACAAATTGTGGCCGATGATTCTTTGTTGCTAGCAAAAATTCCGTAGTGCACGCTGATTATTTGCTAGACACCGTGCACGTTTGCTGGCAAAAACCAGAGTTTTCATTATACGTTCCTAATTATGCTAGGAAAACCTCGAGGTTGACCGATCTTAGCCGACGCACACCACTAACATGCGGCTAGGGGTACGCGATGCCTAACTAACTAGCCACATAGAGCCTACGTAGATACTACCAGACAGCCGAACGATCTTAACCGACGCACACCACTAACGTGCGGCTAGGGGTACGCGATGCTTAACTAACTAGCCACATAGAGCCCACGTCGATAATACCAGGCAGCTGAACGATCTCAACCGACGCACACGACTAACATGCGGCTAAGGGTTCACGAATGAAACCCATCTATCTGTAACGGAGAAAAGGCTCAAAATGGGCGTCTTGAAATTTTGAGATATATTTTTCCTTTTGAAGTTAACATATGTCTTTCTGTGAGGCGCATTTTCTTCTTCGTGGGGAGCGTTCATTTGGTCGTTGAAGTCCTGAAATGAGAGGCAGATATAATTCACGTTATTAAAATATCATCATAAGGCGGGTGGCCGACAAACTGGCAGAGATACTTACCCAGGAATTCACTGCGGCGACTATGCTGTCGTAGATGCCTGTTCACACAAAGCCATCTTCAGGGGTTGTTGCGCATGGCTATTTACTGCACCTTTCAAGAAATACGAGACTTACATGTAATGCATAGGACCTCATTAACAGACAAACTTTTCGGAGCCGATGGGTCACACGAAATCATCTTCGTCTCTTTCATCTAGCTGACGCTCTACGAAGTTAGTCGTAGTTGTCAGACACTGACTCACGGCTGTCGAGTAGTTCCTCTGTGAACCCGAAAACATGGACGCACACAGACTTACGTGACACATTGTGCTGTGAATCTGTGCTTCGATCCAGGTCAACATCATAAGACGCCCTTTTTGCGAACCGGGTAGCAAGCACACCTCTGCGCTTTCCGGATGGACCCGGAGCTAAGAACCAAAAGTGATTTATTTTCACGTGGACTCAAATTTGGGACAATCCTGAAGAGCATCACCACACAGTGGGCAAGGTTCACCGTCACAACAGTCGGCGTGATATGGGACGCGATTTGTTGCACACCAGCGGTCACTTGTAGCAGTAGGCCGGTCACAGAGAACACAGAACCCCAAGTCAGCGTTTCCAGACCGCCATCTAGGTTGAGATGCAGTATCCTCGACCAACAACGGCAGGTCGCCGGTTGCAGACTTTGAGGCTTGACGCAGCAGGATTTGTCCCTGAGCAATCAACCGCTTAAATATGGCGGTGGCCCTTCCGGGTTCCAGCCTCTGAAGCTTATCCATCACCCGATTCAGTTGTTTACGAAGACCGTCGAAAGCTGTCGGCGGTGGTTTGAGAACAAGTATAAGGGGTACACCTTTATCCGGTAGGTTGTAATCCGACAGCCATCGCTGGTGGATTGGAAAGCAAGCTAAAAAAGTCAATGATGAATAGTTCTTACTGCTCGGAACGGACTGATCTCGAAATACAGAGAACAGGTGTACGCAGGGGAGCCACATCGCCTGATAGAAAGGGCATATGCATTCTCCAGCACAGGTGTCGACAGTCTGGGAGCACCTGGGTGTTTGCACCACAAACTATCAGTTAGTTTACGTAGCTCGACCTCGCCTTGTTTGTTCCGACACATTCATACGGTAGCCGCGGCGGTCGCGGACCCAAGTGCCTCAAAACGAGAGATCATGCATGTCGTCATTCGACATACTACGTTTAGAACGTAGGCGTCACCCTCCAGGATTTGCCGCCTGTGTCACTGGTATGACGTATGCATCTCAAACTCCCGCATGAGCCACTCGGCGTGCCGGGACACCTTTTGAATGGCATGTTCCAACGTGTCCGATTGATGCACCCGATCTTTAAGGCGCCCGTTTGCGTTCTCCAGTCGATTGTTGGTCACATTACCGAAATCAACCATTCCGGACTGTGCGTATATGGTCCATTTTCGGGTGATGTACAACCAGCGAGCCGTAAGATAGGGGAGAA